TATTAATATTATCTTCAATTAATTATTTTTTTATTATTCATGAAGGAATTAATATGGAAAAATTTATTAATAAAATTTATATTTGCAAATCTTTAGTCATATATTGCAATAATTAACTAAGATTTGAGTTCATGAGTATATTGAAGCCACACTCAAAATTTTTTTTCTTTTTCTTGTGTATTTTAATATCAGATTTTTTTAAATATTTCAGTCCCCAACAATCATCACAGGGATCACAAAATATTATTATTGAAACTGGACGCTACCCTGATCAGTTAAACACAAGGCATACTATCAATGTTCCTGAGTCGAAAAAATGAACTTACATGAGCTTAAATCAATTGTTTTAGTATAGTAGTTAAGTTCATATAAGTTAACTTTTTCAACTCGGGTTGTGTAAGACTTTATTAATCGACTAGTACCAGACTATTTTAATTTTTATCTTAGATTTTATTAACATATTTATATTTTTTTTCAGAGTAAACAATAGTAAAAGAAAACGTCAAAAACAATACAGGGAGCGGAACAGAGAAAAATTGAAACATCGTGAAGCGGAAAGAAGAAAGCGTATACAATCTTCACAAAGCATTATCGGACCGTCTACCTCTTCAAACTCAAATATAATGGAAGTAAATAATGAAAAACCAGTAATTGCTATTTCATCTACTCTTCAAAATAAAAGAGACCGTCAATAAAGATACAGGGAAAAGAACAGAGAAAAATTGAGTCAGCGTGAAGCGGAAAGAAGGAGACGTCTACAGAATGCAGAAAGTATTATAGAATTACATATTTCTCCAAATATAGAAAATAGAGAAATAATTATAGAACCAATAATCACAATAGATGAAGTAAGTACAAATTCTCGACATTTAACTGGTTTGGGAGAAATGGAGCATGAAGTGTTTGACATATCTCAGCAAAATTTAAGTAACCTATCAAGCGCAAATATTGCGGAAATTTCGAATAACTACAGTCAATTTAGATACCATAAAACAGCTCATGAATATTTCATCGATAACTTTAAAAATAATGAATTTGGACATGCTTGTGAAGTGAATTAATTATGATTGTAGTATACATTTCACCTAATAACAAAATGGATCATATAATTTCATTTTTACATGAAAGGTTATTTCTTTATAGTCAAAGAGGTTCAATAATTTTTAAAAAGAATAAATATAAATTACCATTAATTTTAGCTGGAGATTTTAATGTAAATTTTGCAAGAGCTGAATCAATGCCATCAATTACATTTCTTCAAAAAGAATTTCAATTGCAAATCAACAACAATCCAAGAGAATCTACTACCAAATATGGAACAACAATAGATGCTGTATTTGTGAGATATCTTGATAATGTTTCATCCAATACTTTTGTAACGTACTTTAGTTATCATCGACCAATCGTCACAGTAATACCGGCAGAGGAAACATCAAATATAACTATTACTGAAGTCACAGATGAAAATATTTAAATTGTGGTCGCTTGATATTAATATCGAATTTTTATATCACATGTAAATAAATGTTTATTAAATAAAGTTACCATTTTCTGTAAGAAATTCGTAATACTTCATTTTTCATTAGGCTATATTTAATTCCTGTGATAATATTATCTTCTATACATATTACTTGTACACACACGATGTTTCACATCTGCCAGGCGTCTCATGACGGCTCACTTTTTTTTATCATGTTTGGGTCTAGAGTAATCCTAAGAAAACTACCGAAAAAAAAATTTTCGAAATTTTCTCTCATCTAAAAAAGGTCTACGGGCTTCAAAAAATTTTTTATTATTGTTTCCTTCAAAAGCTCTTTTAGAAAATTTGATGCCCTTTAATTTAACGTAATCAAAACGCCTGTACGATTTGGCGCGGAGTTATTGTCGATCAAACGAAAAAAGTTCTTTTTGACTTTGATAATCAATAACTGGGAATAATGATCGTATAGGAAATCAAAGGAGGGTTTTGAAAACTACGCAATATTCTCTATAAGATACCATGAATGGATTTTAACGAAAAAATTTTTTTTGAATTGAAAACTTTGACTGAAAAAAAGACAAAAATTCGCGTAATTAAGGATATTTGGATAACTTGGTATAAGTTTGAATAAAATGGATGAACGAAGGATATCGTCGGTAATTTTTCAACCTTATAGTGTCCTTTAAAATCCCTGAAAAATTCAAAGCGCTGCGATTTTTTTTTCATATTGCCCCGAAGCTTCAAATCCTTTGTTTTCGCAAAAATCACCATTATGAGCAATATTTCGATTTTTATTCATTTTTTCAGTAAAAAAAAATTTTTTTTCTTAAAAATCGTCATTTTTTTGATCAAAGAGATTAACTTTTTAAGAAATTTGAGAAAAAAAATTTCAATTTTTGTTGTCAATTTTCTCGAGTTTTTTTTTAATTTTGTCGATTTTTTTCGACGGCTGTCTCGACGGATGTCTTACCGAAGGCATTAGCGTTACCCAACACACACACACACACACACACACACACACACACACACACACACACACACACACATGCATACACATACGCACACACACATACACATACAGAAACCATCTCGGGAATAGTCAGGGAAGCTTTCTAAGATCTCAAAACGTCGAGATCTGATGGAAACTCAATTTTCGAAAAACGGGGTTAAACCAATAACTTCCCGATTTTCGAAAATTTTTAATTTTCTCAGCAGGAAGTTGAAAATTTTTTTCCAAAATATTCAATTTGTTGGCAATTATTTACTGAATTTTGTAAGCCATAAGTTTGATAAGATAATTAGGTAGTAAATTATCGACACTCAATGTCAAAACACATTTTTGGTTTAAAAAAATCAAATTTTCAAGTTAAAAATTCTTATGGAAATTCAAAATGTTTGTTTTCATGTCAGGAATATTCAGTTTAAAATTTAAAGCGATCCAATTATTTTTCAGCTAACTATATCATTTGTTTATAAAATGTATCATAAAATAACAAAACACGTCATTGTTAATAGCTTATGAACTATTGGTCGGAAAGATATGAAAAAAATAGAGTTGTAGCTTTTTTCAAGGTCCAGGTTTTACCTGTTAACACTGAAAACATGAGACTGATCGTATTTAAGAAAAAAATTTTTTCAATTACCATTCGATCGCTTATAAGTTATAAACAATTGGGAATCGTCGTTTGGTTTTTTTTTTCTCGAATTCGATTTTATCCGATTTCCTATCCAAAACCCTTCTTAAATGTTATTTTTGAACCTGTTCCTAGTTGGACCTACTTTCTTTACGAAAACGGCTCATTTCTGTAGGCTAATAGCATTCGTTTTTTATCTATGTAATTAGCTTATAAAATTTTTAATTTCCAGGCTGTCGCTGATGTTATAAGAACATGTCTTGGACCACAAGCAATGTTAAAAATGTTGATGGATCCAACTGGAGGAATAGTGATGACTAACGATGGAAATGCTATTCTTCGCGAAATAACCGTACAACATCCAGCTGGTAAATCAATGATTGAGATTGCTAGAACTCAAGATGAAGAAGTTGGTGACGGTACTACTTCCGTAATTGTTCTTGCCGGAGAAATTTTGGCTACTGCTGAGCCATTTTTAGAACAAGGAATGCACCCAACTGTAATTATCAGAGCTTATAGACAGGCTTTGGAAGATATGATTGAAATATTACAAGATAAAGTCAGTATTGATCTTGATTGTAACGATCGCAATAAATTAGTTGACGTTGTTAAATCATGTGTTGGTACCAAATTCATTGGGCGTTGGTCTGATTTAGCATGTCAAATCGCTTTGGATGCTGTTCATACTGTTTTACTCGAAGAAAATGGACGACGTGAAATTGATATTAAACGTTATGCGAAAGTAGAAAAAATTCCCGGAGGCAGTATTGAAGAAAGCCACGTACTTAAAGGAATTATGCTGAACAAAGATGTTACTCACCCAAAGATGCAGCGTTGCATTAAAAATCCGCGAATTTTGCTTTTAGATTGCAATTTGGAGTATAAAAAAGGAGAATCACAAACAAATCTTGAGATTATGAAAGATACTGATTTTACTCGTGTTTTGGAATTAGAGGAAGAGCATATCAAGAAAGTTTGCCAAGATATTGTTGCTGTTAAACCAGATGTTGTAATTACTGAAAAGGGTATTGCTGATCTTGCCTCACACTTTCTATTGAAAGCAGGAATTTCGGCAATTCGACGCGTTCGTAAATCAGATAATAACAGAATTGCACGAGCATGTGGTGCAACAATAGTAAATCGTACTGAAGAACTCCGTGAAGAAGATGTTGGTACTGGGGCTGGACTTTTTGAGATTAAAAAATACGGTGACGACTATTTCTGTTTTATTACCGAATGTACTAATCCGAAAGCATGTACAATAGTACTGCGTGGAGCAAGTAAAGATGTTTTAAATGAAACCGAAAGGAATTTACAAGATGCTCTTCATGTAGCTCGTAATTTATTGATGGAACCCAAATTAGTGCCTGGTGGTGGTGCTACTGAAATGGCTGTTTCAAAACTTTTGACTGAAAAAGCCGCTGCCATAGCTGGTGTTGAACAGTGGCCTTATAAAGCAGTATCACAAGCTTTAGATATTATTCCAAAAACATTGGCTCAGAATTGTGGTGCTAATATTATCCGTATACTGACTGCGTTACGTGCTAAACATGCAACTGAAGGTAATACTTGGGGTATTGACGGTGAAACTGGTGAGATTGTTGATATGAAAATACGAGGCATTTGGGATCCACTAAGTGTTAAAATGCAGACTTATAAAACAGCTATTGAGACTGCTATTTTATTGTTGAGAATAGATGATATTGTTTCTGGTAGTAAGAAGAAGTCCAATGAATATAATCAAAATCAAGCTGCAGTCCCTACACAAGAATCAATGAAAGAATAATCGTATTTTAAAAACTACATGAGCTCAGTTTTTTCATTAATAATGCTAATATAAAGTAAAATAATCATGCCTACTTCATCGTTATTACATTTTCTTCTTTTTTCGATTAATATAAAAAGTAATGTTCATTATAGGTATTATTTTGCTAAACTGATACATTTTCATAAAATAAAAAAAGTTTGATAAAGAAAAATGAAAATTTGATATTATGTTTTAATCTAATTAACTGTATTGCTTATTACATAGTTTGAGAAATGCCTTAAAATTTATATGAAATAGATATTTTGTTCTATAGATTCTCTATATATTTTCTTTCTGTAATATTATTTTTCTAGGCAGAACCAAAAAAAATTAAAGCTACAAAATGAAATATGTCAACCCAATGAAAAATAGTATAAGAAAAAAATTTTAAGATTTTTTTCTTTTCAGTAGTTTACAGACTTGGAATTTTTCACCTCTCACGTACTTATGTCGATTATGTCAAGCTATTTCTGTAATTTTGATTGCCTCTATAGTGTCTTGTATTCATATTGCGCTCGTTGATATGAATGAAATTAAATTCTAATCTAAGATAAAATCATCATTTGAAGTCGATGGGATCGACTTGGTTAATTTTTTATAAACATTCTTAGTAAGCTGTATTCGGTTTTTATAAAAAGAATAATTGGAAAATTTGTCAGGAAGATTAGTAATTTCAGGAAAAACTAAATTTTTTCTGCGTAATTCTCTACTTGTTTTTTTCGTTATATTCTCCAAAAAATTAAAATCTGGAAAATTAAAAAGAATCGGCACAGTAGATTCTTCAAAGATTCGAGTTTTTATAATTTTCAAAAAAAGGTTCATTTGAAATTACTTCGATACCTATGTTTTGATCGATTCTATAATTTAATCAGCTCTTCTAAAAAACGACGTCGATCGCTGCAAACCGCATCGAAATTAGTTGATTCGTTCGAGAGATATCGTTGTCGAAAGATATCTCGAAAAAGAATTTTTTTAAAATAACTTGAAAAAACCGTCAAATTAATTATTCTATAATAAATTTCTTGTTTAACTTAGAAAACTGCGTCGATCGCCGTGAATTGTATCAAAATGATGAGTGTGAACTTAGCCGACAACCGACAATCGAAGATTTTAAAAATCGATATCTCAGCGAGGAAATCGATTTTGACAAATTAAAAAATTTGCAGTTGTTCGTTTTTTAAATTCTTACAAATGCATTCATTTGTAAATAAAATACGATTTTTTTTTCTCGATGAAATTTTGGAAATAAAACTTTTACGAGTGCTCCAATCAACACTTTTAGATAAAAAAATCTAAAATTGAGTACTTACCTTTTTTTTAAATAAATTTAGACCTGCATTTAATTTTTTTTTTTTTAATTACTAGAACGTTCTATAAGCAATAAAAATAAAAAAAAAAAATTAGGAAAAATAAAAAAATGCAGGTCTCTATTACACCAAAATCTACACCTGCATTAATTTAAAATTCCATTTTTTTTATTTCGTACCAAGTTATCAATTTTTTTCTAATAATTTATTTTTTTTTTTGGATTTATATCCAGTTTATAAGCTTACTTTACTTAAACAATACATAAAATTTACTTAATTTTCGACAAACTACACCTGCATTTTTATAAAGTTAAGTTTTATTCATTAAAATTATATTTTAAACAAAAAAACAATTTTTTTTATTAATTCAATTTAATATTTATTAATTATATATTATATTAAAACAGATTTTTAACAATATTCATGTTATTATAGAATTTTAATCGTTTATTTTAACTCATCTGGGTTTTATTATGTTCAAAAATAATGTTCTTATATAAATTTATATTAATAAACAATAATGTTGAAAATTCACAAAACTATTTATAATTAAAATTAATTACTTATATTTTTAATTTATTATTTACATTAATTCTCAATTAATTATTTACAAAGTACTATTCATCCACTCATTACACAAGTCACATTGATATTTAAAAGAATCTTTCTGCATTTGTTTAAATGTCTTCTTTAAATGTTTCAAACATGTGTAATGAGAATATTTATTACAATTATCGCATTCGATCCAGCCTGGATTTTTTTCTATTTCTTCCTGGCCACATCTTAGGCACCGATTGGACACATCCAATGATCTATTTATTATGTCCACTTGTAATTGTGCCCTTAATTGTGATGGATTAAATTTCGGGATGGTGAGTAAATTACCTTTAAGGATCTCTTGAATAAAATTAATTACAAAAATTCCGCAGTTGTTACAATCAGTTTGGATCTGATGTTTGATGTAACTCAAAGACCAATCAATCATTGTGTCTTTAAAGACTGTCCGATAAGTGTATACAAAATTTTTAAAATAACTTTCACATTTATTACTTAATATATTTTCATTAGTTATTAAAGGATCCATATAATAAAAACGTTTGTTCTTTACAGCGACAAAAATTAAGACCCAGTGCTCATTATTTAAATTTAGTGGTAGAAAAATAGCCGATTTATTTCGCCATAGATGACCTAAACTGTCGAAAAAATTTGGACCAACGTTAGAACATTTGTCAATTAAAATTCTAGTATTTAATTCGCACTTAGTATACCCGACAAAAGATCGAAAAGACGACTCAGAAATTATCATATTTGAACAATAATCAATTACTCCATTTGTTAACCACTCATCATTAAATAATGAACAATAGTCTTCACCGAAAAGACATAGTATGTTGTTACTATCACTAAAATCTTCCATAGCCGAAACAAAATAAAATATATTAATTTTCGGAGCAAAATAATATTTTATATTTTGAATGGTGAAGTTATGAGGGTTAATATTTAGCAGTGATCGTCGAGTATCGTTCGTAGCCTTCTTGATGTTCGTAGAATGTTGATAAGTCTTCCGCCGTTTATTTTCCTGTCGAGGTTTCCATATTTCTTCTGAGTTCAAATCATCCGGCTTACTAATTGGTCTGCCTCTTTTTTTAGCTGTTGCAACAAGAACGGTAGGTTCTTCAAGCTCAAATTCATTAAAAGATGCCCGCAATGAAGCTTCACGGGTATCGATAAATCGTCTAACTTTCATATCATCAACATTATCATCCATCTTCACCTGTTTAAAATGATTTTCGGCGGAAGCATTGGTGTAATGATTTTGAGTAGGACTTAAAAAAATCGTCCAAAAGAACAGATAAGCCAAGAGATGTTGCAGGAAATAATCAGCTAAAATTTTGGAGTAAAATTTATTCTTTAACCGAAGATATAGTTTACTCTCCTCAGCATCATCTTCAATTTTTTTTCTAAAAGACATATATCGTTGATAATATTTAGATGATTCATAAGCGGTAGTAGCTGAGGAATTATTCTCAAATTCGAGAGTATTATCTTCGCTGTCAATATTGATATTTTTAATGTCAAAATCGGTTTCTTCGTTCGAATACTTTTGATCAGTGAGATATTGCATAGCATTAACGACGTCTAAGCATTTAAATGGGAATAACAATAAAGTAAAAATAGATTGAACCAATTTGTCGAAAATTTGAACATTAGAACAGTGAACCAAAGTAGCGATAGCTTCTAGAAAAAGTGTTGTAGTGTGTTTTTCAACTTTGTGGGTTTTCGCGTATCGCGAAATCATTTTCATCAAATGTGAGTAGCAAACAAATAATGGAGTGATATTAGGAGACAATGGTTTGTTAGAAAAAATCGCATCATAAGTATCATCCGAATATTTTTGAACAGTGCAATCGTTCCAACTATACATTAATGCATTTATATTTCCCCATGACCAATCAGAAATTAAAGCATCGAAACAAGACAAATCAACATCATTTGCCTTCCACAAATTTTTAAAATACGATAGGCATTCCGAAATTGAAGCAGATGTATGATTGTTTGAAATCAGTTCTAATACAGGATAAATTCTTTTATTTACATTGACCACTCCTGCATAATAATAGATGCGTTTAGATGTTTTGTAAGGTATTCGAACTACCGAGCCAGTTGCATCTAAATAAAAAACTAAATGTGCATTTCCTTTAAGAAATATTATTTGTGCCTCGATTCCTAAGTATATCGAAAATGGTGGAACAAATTTTCGTATATATGGGTTATTTTTGTTGCAATTTTCCATTCTTAAAAGAATATCAACAACGTCGTTATTATCACAATCATTTTTCCCTAATTCTTCAGACCTAACTTTTCGAATAACGCTTCGAGAGCTCGTAAATTTATAATTTCCATCACTTTTGGCTAATTTTTTATCCATGTCAGTTACCAACGAGTTCCGAAAGTTTCGAGGCTTCTCGTGTCGTAATTTTTCTTTCAGTTTTTGTCGATGAGTTCCACGGATTTGGTAGGATAAATTCATTGTGTGATTGTTTTCATTCGCAGTGGCATAAATTTTTACATTGGTCTTTAAACCACTCATGTGTCCGTGAAATTTAAATTTTTTATTGCAATCTGGTTGGCCACAATGAGCATAGTCGCGAAAATAAATATCTTTGCGTAATCTGAAACCGTCACCGAAAATGATTATGCATGTAATTTTAAATTTTTCCGGTAAGACGTCTCGAAGATATTGATGGACTAACTCTGAAATAATCAATTCTTCATATACAATTTTCGTTGATGGTAAAGTTAATGTGCCAAGAAAATCGTAACTATTTTTTATTTTAGCAATTTCTTCGGTAGTTTCTTTAGATGATATTGAAGACTGGCTAAATTGGCGGCTTAACTGTCGAATTAGTGGATCTGAATCATTATCAATATCATTATTATCATTTTCATTATCAATGTTATTATTATCATTATCAATATTAATACCATTATTATCATTATCAATATTAATACCATTATTATCATTATCAATATTAATACCATTATTATTATAATCAACATTATTGTTGTTATTATTATTGATATTGATGTTATTTTCGTTCAATTTTAATTTTTTTAATGTTTTGGTCTTTAATTCATGTCTGTCGTTTTTCCAAGCAAAATATAAATTTGTGTAAAAATTTTCTTTTTGATTTCTATTTTTTAATTTAAAATGCTCACAAAGCTTGGAAAAAAGAATTTCTTGTTGTGCAGGATTGTCACCAATATCTTGAATATTTTTGGCATGTAATAATAATGCCGTATAAGCTTCTGTCGTGTCGAATTTCATACTTGTAATTTTGATTTATTAATATAAGAAAAAGATATACATAGTATCCTATAAAAATATAAAATGAAGTAATTCAGAATTGTACTTATAAAATAGTAGTACAACAATATGATACTAGATAATAATAATTGTTACCTTTAAGCGAATAATTGTTGATTGTGACATATAATAGTAGAAGATTATAAAAACAAATTATTATAAAACGAGTAAAGAAGGCAACTAATTAATAGAGAATGAATCAACGGCAATGTCAGTTGTTTGAAAATTGAATATTTGCTACCTTAGTCGGACAATGGCGATTACAGGGCGAGCGCTGCTAGTGAATAGCAGAAAAAGCATTTCAAGAATAAAAGAGCGGCAAAATTTAAAAAAAAAATTGTTTTTTTGTTTTAAATATAATTTTAATGAATAAAACTTAACTTTATAAAAATGCAGGTGTAGTTTGTCGAAAATTAAGTAAATTTTATGTATTGTTTAAGTAAAGTAAGCTTATAAACTGGATATAAATCCAAAAAAAAAAAAAATTATTTAGAAAAAAATTGATAACTTGGTACGAAATAAAAAAAATGGAATTTTAAATTAATGCATGGCTGCACTTACTCTAGTATTTGTAATAACGCACTGTTTTTAGTTTTTGCATTTAGTCTAAGAAATATAAATTATGATTAAATGCCATCGTTTCAGCAATTTATGTCACGATGACAAGACCGAAGAACCAAGTGTATCGAAATATATCTTTTAATAGGTTATCTATGGATTTTCAGAATTTTTCAAAAGTCAAGCTCAAAAATGTAAAAGTTATTGATAGAAGACTTCTCTGAGTAATATTTAATAGAGCTACTTTTTTTAACGGGCCACATAATTTCAAGTTCGATTTGTGATATTCGACAACGCAATTCATTGAGCATAAAAATATTATTCATAAAGACAAAAATTGATAGGTTGAAATCATTTAAAAAAATTAGAAAAGCGGTTGACCCTAAAGGCCATCCCTGCAACTTCCCGCTAATTTCATACTTAAGCGTTCAATAGCACTTATAACGTTTTTGAGCTCTTCGAGCACAATGATATAATTTTCGTATCATTTTGAGCTCTCCGAGCTCAAAAGTCTGTAGAAGTTTAATAAACCACTATTTTTTGAATTTTCAAACAGCAATAACTTTTGAATGAATGAACCGATTTTCACGTGGTTGGCGGCATTCAACGCAGATTTTGAAGCCTCATAAAAAATATTTAAGCTTCAATTGATCGAACTAGGAATTTCAAAGTAATTCCAAAAAAAAACACTTTTTTCGGTTTTCTTTCGTCAACGATAACTCACGAACGAATCGACCGATTTTGACTGAGAACGATCGACGTGGTTTTTTGATGTTAAGAGCTGATTAGTTTTTAGAATTGATCGGTACAGCCGTTTGAAAGTTATTCCAAAAAAACCCCATTAAAAAAAATTGTTTTTCGTAGTCTTTTTAAGATTTCTCAAAATCTATCGGTCTTACTTGTATTCAAAATTTAAATTTCGTCGAACCCTTTCGAATGGCACCAACCGCGATCAAATCGGTCAAGCCGTTCGAAAGTTATGAGAGGTT